AAAACCAACAAGAACAAAGTACAAACCAACAACCCCCACCAACATAACACCCAAAAATTTAAAGAAATCAAAGGAAACAACCCAAAAGAACCAACATCACTATAGAAAAACCTAGACTACCTATAAGAAAACCAAGGAATAAAGAGAGAATGACACAGACCATCAAGAACTAACAAACAAAGAACAATAGAGAAATGACAATCAAACAATCTACATCCAATAAAATTAGAGACAGACACAACTGCTAAAAAAATAAATAAATAAATAAACCAACCAACATGAGGATCCAATCTAAAGAAAAAAAAAAGACATAAGTCCCCACATGCCCATCAATAAGAAAAAGTGAAAAAGGATGACCAATAGCCAACCAACCGACCCCTCATACCAAGGCCAACCACCTGACCAACAAACCAGCAAATAGAAACAGCCAATGTCACCCCAGCTCCGAAAATAAGACTAGTGCATTTTCCTAATGCAAGGAAAACCCAATATATTAAGCCTCATCATCCCTTTATCCACAAGAAGATATCTCATAATATTATGGAAAACTAATGAATCATTAATAAAATGAATTAATAAAATGAGGCAGGATAATCATATTTTTATGAAATAAATAATATAAAGTGGCATTGTTACAAATGTTAGAAGAAATCATATTAATGAGAAGCTTGGAATCTAATTCTATCCAAATATTAGTAATGTGATACTAAAGAAAATATTGAGGCCTTGCATAAGAGTTTCCATCTCAACAAAAATAATATTAAAAATTTATGATGGATTTTTCAGACCAAATCCGCTACAATTCTATCACAAAATCTACAAAAACAATATCCGCAGTAAATCCATCATACTTTTATCAATAAAATATTCTATTATAAAGACAACTGCAAATCCACTACAAATAAGTGGTTTTCATGTAATGTGATACGATGATTGTTTTATAGATTTGACACCCATATTAATTTATTAGCTTTTATACTATACTATTTTATTTTTAATAGATTATACTGCTAGTGCATATTATTTTTACTATTTCTATGTTAATTCAATTATCATATAAATGCGACAACTATGATTTGATCCCTTATAGGCATGTTTCTTCTTTATCGTGCTTTGAATTTAGTTATAGATTTTGGTGAACTGTTAAGTTTTTTAACTCATTATAAGTGGCTAAAAGATTTTAGGCCAGGATAGCGAAGTAGGAGTGAGAGATTAACAAGGATCCCTTAGGTTCAGGTTCTTATTATTTATCTATTCTCTTATACTTAAGATAAAATAGTTATGATATGATTATGTAGATCTTGAGTAATATATATAATTTTTGAGAAATGAATGCAGATTAATATATTGATGTTTTAATTGATACTTTTATTTTTATTGCTATTTTGATTGATAAAAGAAATTATATAGCTATGGTTATGTAAATTAAAAGATTAAAAAAAATCATTAAAATTAGATTTTAGGGTATCACATGACATTTTTTCTAGCTCTAATTCTTTGAACAATTTTTTGGATCTAAAGGTTATTACTCTAAGGGGTTGACCTACTTTATAGATTTAGAAAGAGAAGTTTAGCATTATGCTACACTTCTCAAATTTTCTATTGTTGGAAAGTTCAGCATTATGCTACACTTTTTAATGAAGCTTTCGGGTGAATTTTTGATCACCTTCCCGAATAAGAGGCATGTTTTGATAAAATTATCAAATGATATATATTATGGAAGAGTATTTACGCATAGATCATATTATGTTAATAATTGTTTAGTGAAGTTGATAAAATAGTCTTTTTTTTTTCAATATCTCGGAGGAGTCTCTGATTGTCTCTATTTGGATCTCCTCCCCGGAGCTATGCCCCCATCTTTTCTTACCTCACATTCAACACGGTTTAGGTTCTTTGTTTGTTAGACTGATTCATACAAATAATGCAATTACCGATAGCTCCCGCCCCTCGATGGCCTGTATTTTGGTTGAACTTGACATTACCAAAAAATTACCCCGGTTCAATTTTTCTTGCTCGAAATAAATTAAGTTATATTCAGAAGATTTTAATGGATGGTTTTCCTAAATTTTGTGTTCATTATAAATCTATTGGTCACAAAAAATTAGAATCTTTTCTTTTATATCCTCATTTGAGGAAGATTATAGTGCCTAAACATGTCCCATATATTAAAAATGTTGGTAATGTTCCTATTGTGGGATCCGAGTTTGTGGCTTTGAATGATCTTAATACCCCTTTATAAAATTTATTTTTGGAAAAGGATTCGTTTCTATCTCCATTATAACCTTTTAATGTGAAAATAATAATAGGACTATTCATGTGGTTATTCACTCGGTTGCTATTTCATCAATGCTCTGGATTGTGAGGGCATAAATATGGATAAGTTTGTTAACCCTATTCTTATTCTTGATAATTATGGCAATTCTTTAATAGCTTCCTCTATTATAGATAACACAAATTTCTAGCCTAATAATAGCATGTTAAATGTGGATTATGATTCTTATCCTATGGTCACTCCTCTCCTTCTTAAAGGATTGGATGTCTCTAATTAGGAGCGTTCATGTTATTAACTTATTGGTCCTTCCTATTCCTGATGATGAGTGTATTAACTTGGGTGGTGGGTTGCATCAGCAGGTGTTACACTTTGTTGACCTTGTGGATCATTTTGACTAGGTTTGTGATCTTTAGGGTGATAATTGGTGTGATGGAGAAATTAATGATTGCAGATGTAATGTGTTGTTGGAGGACATAGATTTAAATATTGTGCAAGTTAACAATGAAGGATTCTCTATGGTATTAGGCAAAAAAAGTAAGAAAAAAAAAATAAAAATGTGGTGCAAAATTTTGCTTATTATGTTGGCAGAGCTGCTAGATCTAAGTCTATTTCTTAGTTCTTTTGGCTAGTCTTTGTTCTCTTTCTGATCAGCTTTGTTGGACCTAGGGTTGGGTTACTTATGCCTTGTTTTTCTATTCTTCTTTCCTTGGTTGTGTTCTTTCTTTGGTTTGTGCAGTTGTTGTCTTCTTGTTCGAGCCTCTTTGGGGGTGGTTGGTGTTGGACATCTGTTGCTCCTATTTTGATAGTGGTGTGCCATACTGGAGCCTGGTGCTTCCTGTTGTTTTTGCTCTTTGGTTGTTTTGCTCCTCATATATATAGCTTGGTGTGTTGCGGTTGTTTCCTTGTTTAGCCTGATGGTTTGCTTTTTTTGGTTGGTTTGTTTCCCGTTTTCATTTTTTTTTAAGTTCAGTGCTCTTATTCTCTTTCTTTTAGTTATTTGCAAGTTGTTTTTGGTTAGAGGTGTTGATTGTAGGCTTGTGGGGTGGTGTTTCGTCGTGCTCTCCCTTTAGAACTTCCTTTGGTTGCTGCTCCAATTTTTGTGGGCTCTTTGAATTTTCTGTGGCGCGTTGTCTTCTTGTGGATCTTCAGGCTAATCCTTAGTTGTATGCCTTCAGGAAATGAAAAGGCCTTTCATTTATTGCCCTTTTTTTTGTGGTTTCGATCACATTCTCGCCACTAAACGATCAATCTTTGTTGCAGATCCTTTTTGGGTATGCTTCTTGCCATATTTTTCTTCTCTCTATGTACTTAGTTTGGGATCTTAAACTCCATAGATTTTCTTTTGATTGTATTTTGTAGCTATTTGAGCTTTAGTTGAGTTTTTGATGCCATTTAAAAACTTTGTCAAATTAACAAGTAAGCCCATCTTTGAATTTCCTCTAAAAAATAAGCAAAACAAATAAAAGGTTAAAAATAATTAACCAACCGCAGGAAATTACCGGCTGTGTTGGCCGCCGGAAAGCTGTCGGAAAATTTAGTCGTCGAAAATTGACTGCCGCAATTTGTTTCCTACGCGGTTTATACCGGCAGTTAACAAACCACCAAAAAACCTCCGGTAGTTTTCAAAACTGCCAGAAAATTTATACTAACCTCCAGAAAAAATTGTCAATAATTGACAATTTTACTATAATGAGAGAGAAAGAAGCCCTTATAGCAAAAGACTAAACGTGGTGAGAAGCAGAATCAATATATTATTTTTTGTTGTCTAGCTCTCTTCTTTAGAATAGGTTATTGTCTTCCACCTCAATCCCTAACATATAAAAAATGGCATTTTGTCTTTATTCATATGAAGTGCAAATTCATCACGCTACTTTATAGAAAAATAGGATAATATTTGATCTAATAGCGACAATGAATATAGATCTATCTTCCTAAATCATATTATCATATAATCATATCTTTTATTAGAGATCTATACTGTTTATTCTCTTGCCTTTATTTATTTACTTGTAAGTTTTATCATCATCACTTTCCTAACAAAATTCTTCTGCTACCATCACAAATATCTCAGCACTCAACAATAGAATTCAACAACCACCTGTTACTAAGAAAAGCTGATTTTTCAATAATTTTAAAAAGATCAGATTAACAATTATTGAAGATTAACTCTAAGATCTCAGATCAACTCTCCCCAAAAATATTTTTGTTGATCGATTAGAGCTCTATAATAAATAAATAAAAAAATATTTAATTATGTTGAATGCTGCACGAAGAATAAATTAATACTTGAAAATATGAAGGCCCTGATCTCGCTGCACCTTCGTTTCTCTTTCGGTACTTTTTCCTGCTCTGGTCGCTGAGATCCCAAAGACAGTGGATGTGATACCATAAGCCCCAGCTGAGAGCCCAGCTTCCATCCACGTTATCTTTTCAGCAACTTGCTCTGTTTCCTTCAAAAAAATTCAATAATTAACAGTCTTTTCAGGAAAATGGAGGGCAACAAAGTGGAGAAATTATTCTGTGCGGTCACCGAACGGTTCAAAGAGGAATTAGAATGCGTCACATCATCTGGTACTGAACATTACACAGCAACGATACACAGAAAAAATGATATGACGTATTCTCATTCTTCTATGGATGCTGTTCGGTGATCACATAAAATAATTTCTCCAATAAATTAGCAAATAATAATAGAGAAAGTTACAAATATTATATAATCAAAATTATATTCCTCCAAAATAAGCAAAATTTTATAAATAAATATAAAATCATTTGAACTGCTTGATATTTAGCCGAACAAGCCGAACCGGACGGTCCACTATAGCGAACCGGATGAGAATCATCCGAAAGAAACGTAGAAAACTTGCAACTTTAGTGGTCTTACGTAATACTATTCGTTTTTTCCTTTTACATCATCATATAATTTTATTTACAAACTCCACCTCCACTACCAAGCCAAGCATATCTTTACACCCTTCAGTCTTTAACATTATTACAACATCACCCACAAAGCGCCCCTACCTCCCGAAGCCTAGGAACAAGCCGCCCACTAAGATGCAGCGCCATAAGCCCCTCAATTCCACCGACGGGCTCCCCGCCGATGAACATCGCCGGCATCATGGCGACCGGAGCCGCTGCAGGATCTTCAGTCTCGTCGAGCTCGATGACGGTGGGGTGGACACCAACGGCGGCGAGCAGCCTCTTCATGACGTGGCACATGCAGCAAGAGCTCCGGCTAAATATTACCACGGGGCTCTCTTCTATCAGCCTCTCCACTCTCTTCTCCGGCGGCTCTCCGGCGTCGATTGTTAGCGCTGCGGCCGGCCGCTTCTTGGATTCCGCCACCGCGTCGTTTCTCATGGCTGGCGTAGATGTCAGGGGAGTTGTGTTGAAGAGGAGGATGGAGCTATTAATAAAGATATTTCACATGGAGGGTGACGTCACGTGATGGCGAAGGGAGCAGCGTGATCGGCGGGCTCGCGTCACGTGGACTGCGAAGGGCTCAGGTTGCGTCATGTGGTGCCCGCAAAGAGCTACAGTTATAACTTATCATGCGCGGGCGCCAACATTGGATGATGTAAGCATACTATAGATCCCGTTAGGCAAGGAGGACCCATACCAAGGAGAGATTATTAGGTGCGGAGTGCGTAAGGGAAGAATCGTCCGCATAAGTATTGGATATCTAGCAGTATTTGCACTCGGTACCGCTGGGTACCGCTGGGTATTCAATGTTTGTGCGATTGGTGCGCACCCCGCATCTATTAATTTTTCCGTAACAAGAGAGTTTGGAGTTAAGCATTAGGAGAAACTACAACCTAATCAAAGAAATTGACATTGAGCATGGGATTCTCTCCTCCGACAATTCCAATGCCTTCATCAGCCACTACTCCAATTAGTTTAACTCTCCCCTTCCCAATCACCCCAATCCCATAACTATCCCGCCCAAAAACACTATCCCGACCCACCTCCTTCTCTCTCTAATTACCCTGTCATTGTGGAAGAAATCAAGAACATCATCTTCTTGGGTCCCTCTTTTTCTTCTACCGATCTAGACTGATTCACATTCAAATTTTACAAAACTACTTGGAACACAATTGTCTTTGAAATTTGTGATGTGGTGCTCTCTTTCTTCTCTACTGCCTACATGCCCATACAAGAGAAAGCCATGGTTGTTGCATTAATTCCTAAATTCTCACATGCCAACAACCACTACAGGAAAACAGCTCATTTCCGACAGAATTTCCGGCGGAAATAAAATCGTCACAAATTCCGGCGGATTTTCCAGTGGCTTTCCGACGGAAATTTTTCAACGAATTTCCGACATAATTTTTTATTGGTTTTCCGACGAATTTTTTCCGAATGCATTTCAGGCGGAATTTCAGACGGAAATTAAAAAAATTAAGTTAAATTAAATTATTTAAATTAAATATTTTTTATTTTAAAATATAACTTAAATTATTGAATTTATTCAGGCAAGGCGGACTGGGGCGGCTCGGGCGAGGCGGTTCAAGCAGGCGGACAAAGTTGGCCGTGGCTTCAGCGCTGAGCGCTGTGTCCACCGTGTGCGAGCTGGGGTCCTGGAGCAGCGGGCCGGTTGGCTGTAACTGATTTTTTTTTCTTGAAATTCCGGCTCATTAAAAATTCGACGGAAATATTTTCCTGCGAAAAATCCGTCGGAAATACGTCAGAAATGTTTCCGGCGAATTATTTTACGCCGGAAGTCCTTTTTCGATGCGCGTGTAACCGGCGATAAAATTTCCGCCGGAAATGTAATTTTCTGACAGATTATGGCCATTTTCCGACGAAAATGTCCGCCGAAAAATGATATTTTTCCTGTAGTGAACATTAAAGATTTTAGACCAATCTCTTTATGCAATTTAATTTATAAGTTTATTGCTAAAATCATTGATAATAGGATGAAAGCTGTGATGCCTCTTATCATCAACCCTAGCCAAGGGGCTTTCATTCAGGAGAAGATTATCTCTTACAACATTCTTTTTGCATCTGACTTGCTTGGGGACTTCAACCAGAAGGTTAAGGATAAGTTATTTTATGCCAAATTCGATATTACCAAAGCATATGATACCGTCTCTAGAGAATTTCTCTTTCAGAGACTAATAGCAAAGGGTTTTCTTGAGAGGTTCATTTCATGCATCAAAGCTTGTATCAAAGATATTCAATTCACTTCTCCATTTGCATTAACCGCGCACTTGAAGGGTTCTTTAATTCCACCTCCAGGCTTCATTAGGGTTGCCCTCTATGTCCCTACCTCTTCAGTATTGTTATGGATGTCTTGTCGTCTTGTTTTGACATAGCTACCACTAACTGGAGCTTCACCGGCTTGGATGCTAGTAGTGTCTCGATTTCCCATTTACTCTATGCCGACGACATACTTGTATTCGGAAAAGCTTTGTTGAAGAATGCTTCCACTCTTAACAATATTTTGCACCATTTTGCTACTTCCTCGAGTCTTCATGTCATTCCTTTGAAAAGTACTATCTTATTCTCCAAAGGCTGCCCACAAACTCCCCAAATCAGACCCATTCACAATCTCACTCAATCTGATTCTCCTATGAAATACCTAGGCCTTCATATCTTCTACAAAAAATTAATTAAGGCAATCTGATTTCCAACCCCTCTTATAGAAAATTACTACCTCTTTGGAAGGTGGAAAGCTAAAACTCTGTACTTCGTTGACATAATCCAATATTAAACATTCACTATATACAACACGTTGGTTTACTGAATCAGGGGCTCCTTCATACCCAAAGGCAGCTGTAAACTAATAAACAGGATGTGCTCTAGATTTATTTACTTCGGTAATGTTAACATGAGGAAACTTTATGTTATTGCGTGGAAAGACACTTGCAAATCGAAACCTAACGGTCGCGTAGGCATCCCTTCTATATACTCTCTTTACCATGCTTTTTGTTCCTTTCTTTTGTCGAGGTTCCTTAGCTCTGATAATCTTCTGTTTGATTGGTGGCACTATAAATATCAATCCCCATGAAAATGCATATTACACCACATATGTCGGCATACTTAAAGCATATTTGTACTGTTGCTGGTAATATTAGAAGCCGCATCATTCTTTCCATCTACACTTCCAACAAACTTTCTTTACTCTGGGACTAGTGGTGCAATGTTTTTTTTTTATTGCTGATTTGACTAACAACAAATTCATTGAGAACAACCTTCCCACCTTCTCTACTTGGGGCTTTTCCAAAGTCATCATTAATGATAAATGTGCACTCTCGAATCCCTTCCCACCTTCAATAGCCTCTAAGAACAGTCTAATCCCTATTACTGAGTTCAACATCACACATCTATGACTGGCTAAAAGGATTTTTTTTTCTTCTCAACCTTTGGTTAGTTGGCCCAATTATGTTTGGCATACATTTGGAAGGTGGAAAGCTAAAACTCTGTACTTCGTTGACATAATCCAATATTAAACATTCACTATATACAACACGTTGGTTTACTGAATCAGGGGCTCCTTCATACCCAAAGGCAGCTGTAAACTAATAAACAGGATGTGCTCTAGATTTATTTACTTCGGTAATGTTAACATGAGGAAACTTTATGTTATTGCGTGGAAAGACACTTGCAAATCGAAACCTAACGGTCGCGTAGGCATCCCTTCTATATACTCTCTTTACCATGCTTTTTGTTCCTTTCTTTTGTCGAGGTTCCTTAGCTCTGATAATCTTCTGTTTGATTGGTGGCACTATAAATATCAATCCCCATGAAAATGCATATTACACCACATATGTCGGCATACTTAAAGCATATTTGTACAATTGCTGGTAATATTAGAAGCTGCATCATTCTTTCCATCTACACTTCCAATAAACTTTCTTTACTCTGGGACTAGTGGTGCAATGGTTTTTTTTTGTTGCTGATTTGACTAACAACAAATTCATTGAGAACAATCTTCCCACCTTCTCTACTTGGGGCTTTTCCAAAGTCATCATTAATGATAAATGTGCACTTTCGAATCCCTTCCCACCTTCAATAGCCTCTAAGAACAGTCTAATCCCTATTACTGAGTTCAACATCAAACATCTATGACTGGCTAAAAGGAAAAAAAAAATTTGTACTTTTTTTTTTCTTCTCAACCTTTGGTTAGTTGGCCCAATTATGTTTGACATAAAAGATAATCTCTTCGTTTCTCTGTGTTTGCATGGTTGGATTTTGAGGGTCGGCTTAAAATTGTCAACGTGCTTGCTTTCCGTGGGACACCTTCCACAAATATTTGCCCATTACACTTCTCCGACCAAGAATCCCACTCCTATCTTTTTTCGAATGTCACTACTCTTTCTCTATTATCCCGAGCTTCGTGCCTTGGCTGAGTGATCTTCTTATGCGACTGAACCTCCACCAATCATTTGGCAGTATCTTTGAGCAGGGGGTGTCTGGCTCTTTAAAAAACTTCTATCTGTTAATTACTTGTGCGACCAATTATAGCATTTGGAGAGCACAAAACGACAGAATTTTTGGTGGAACATTTGACTGTCATACCACTATTATTGTTAAAATAAAATAGGCTATCTCGAGTAAAATTTCATTATAGAAGGATCATCATATCATGTTATTTTATACTTGTTATAACTATTATTTTTTGGTTGTGTGGCTGATGTTTAGTGTTACAGTTTGTCGATGGGGCACCTCAGTGTCAATTGCTCCTTTTCTCCTCCGTTGCGTGGGGCTATCGCTTTTGGAATGACAAAATGAAGGCTAGTGTCTTCCAACTGCCCTTTGGATGGCCTATTGGAAACCAAGGGCTCAACTTTGCGGCCTTGTTTTGAACCTTTGTAGCATCCTAAGTCCTTCAGTGATGTTTATATATATATATATATAATCAATCTTTAGGTCAGCACGTTTATATATTTAAATTTATTATATTTTATATTAAAATTTTATCATAATATAATAAGTATTTTATTTTTGGGGATAATTCAGATTAATGATTAAATTATTTCATATTTAATAGATTTTATTCATATTTGTTGAAATAAATCAACTACATCCCTAATCAAGGAAACCATGTCCAATTATTTTGGATGAGGAGCTCGTCCTAGGCTCCAAGGATTGAAAGCTTTATCAGTAAGTGCTATATTATAGTTGTTGCTTATTCATAAGTGAAAGCGAGAAGAAATAATAGACTTCACTATAGGTGTTTTGAGATTGAGATATCGACATGATACTTTATTGTGGTATGCTTGGCAAAGTCTGGCCATTTCCTTCTAATCTAATAGACTAAATTTGTAGATAGGTTGGCTCAAGTGTATATTTGAGAAATTATTAGATTGTATGGATCATTATTTTTTATCGTGATAGTAGATTTACTTTTAGGCTGTGAAGAGGTATTCAACAATGGCTAGGAACAAAACTGCATTTCAAT